TCTGTGAGCTATAATCGAGATATTTTTCGAGCATCATCATAATTTGTTTCGGCTATTTCCCATTCCCTCCGTCCTGACACGTGGAAAGAACGCCGGAATATCTATAATACCTTTCTCGGCCAACACCGGGAGCGAACCCGTGAACTCCAGGCTAGCGAGCTAGGGTTTAGAAATGAGAGAGAGAGAGAGAGAGAGAAATGGGGTTTAACGTCCATTCGACACAAACTAGGTCATTTCGGGACTAACATATGGTTTAATTTTATTTACATAATTCGCTTGCGCGTAGGGGTCTTTAGCAGTGGGAGGAAACCGGAGAACCCGGAGAAAACCCACGAGGTTGGACAGGCGACCCTACTCCTTGCCACGTACAACCGGGGATTCGAGTTTAGAAATGAAATGAAATGAAATGGGGTTTAACGTCCTACTGCTCTGCTCCGAACTGGGCTAATGAAGACGGGCATACGCGATACAGTGTGCTATGAGGGAAATTTTGCCCGGACAGTGGCACTATGGCCTACTCTTATATCGAATTCCAACTATCAATGGATTTTTACGTGCACACGAATGTGTACACGGGACCTCGGTTTTTCGTACCATCCGAACGACTAGACAGCTGTCCTTGTCAGACTAGGGTTTAGTCTTACTCACTAGCTCATGACAGGACCAACCTACAGTTCAATTTTATTTCAATTATTCGCTTGTGCATTGGGTGATTTAAGGCGTAACGTATGAAACTGAAATTAGAATGTCACAAACTGTTCAAGTGGGATTTGTAACAAATAACACTTTTAGTCTACTTATCCGCGACTCAACACCTAATAATCTGTCGGGAAAAGGGTGACAAATAACAAAACGGAGGGCGAATTAGTCTTTGTAATCCGGGTGGCGAATATCCTCTGCCTTTTGTTTTATCTACGCACATATGTCATTTTCAAACGCATGTGTTATTTCACATACACATTTTAATGTATTGATATTTATCGAATGAGCTTTTTCTTTCCTCTCAGTGGCCTAAAGAGCGGAATTAGAATTTCATAGACCGGTTTTAAAAAGTATGGTACTTTTTCTGGTCTACGAATATTAGTCTGGATGCGTTGTCAACATTTGAGAATAATAGGCAATTGGCTAGCTATAGTTTTTCCGCTCTTTTACATTATCATAAACAAAGTCTAAGGAGGTAACTAGTCCTAAAACAAGATGTTGACGCCCATGAAATTAATTCAAGAGTGCCATTTCAAAAGATAGGTTGCCAGGCAACGAAACATACGCCCACAGCAGCTATATCGTCCTGGCAGTCAACAAGAGTTGTCACATATTTTTACTTTTTTCGGTAATGAAACATTTATAATACATTAAAATCTGATTAAGAGTAACAACTCCTTAAGTAATTATTAATAGACTTCTTCGTCTGATGACCGTAAACACTGTGTATAAATTTAAAGTCAATCGGATATTAACTTTAGCCTCTAGAGCGTCCACAAGATTTTTCAAAGTGATCAAGGGCCACAACTCTGACAAAGATTACATGACTTTGCCAGAAGATACTACTGTATACGGACACAGCTCACCAAATATTTCTACGCCGTCACCCTGGGCGAAAGTTATTTTTAGTCTTTCTCTCCCTTTCCCTTTTTCTCCCTTTTGCATCGCGATTTTCGTTGACTTTTTGGTGTAGAATCGAAGAAATGGGTTTGAAAATACATTTTCTGCCAGGTTTTGGTGAATATTTTGAGGCAGAAGGATACAGGGGTTGAGGGGTTTGTTACGTTGAAATGTAGGGTCAAAAATTGCATGTTTACTTGGGTCTCTACTTCCAGCTTGTGTATCTCAAGTTGTGCCCGACTAATCACCGGAATTCATTTAGAATCACCGGAATTCACATATAATCACCGGAATTCACTTCGAAAACCCCCGATTCCTCCCACAAAACTAATTTATTGTAAATGCATAATACATTATAATATAACAAATAACTATTTTGATCCCTCCACAAGCCAGATGGAGGCGCTGTAGGTGTATTTATTTGGAAGACTACCGGAATTCATTTCAAATATATACATCATGATTATTATAACGTAGTGCGCGTCGAATTGCCCAAAAAAAACTTGAAAACAACACCCAGTAGCTCCAAAAATGTTTTCGGCGTAGGGTAAGCAGAGATAAGCAATTTAATTGGTTGATATGCTTTGGGACACGATTATAACTTTGACGGCGTAGAAATATTTGGTAAGCGGTGTCCAACTAAATTGTTATTTTGTGTTTCCAGTCAACATTTTTGGAGTAAATGGGTGTTATTTTGGAGTTATTGGGTAATTCGAAGCAAATTGTTATTTTGTGATATTTTGGAGTTAAGCCTATTGGCCTGTATACGTTATCATAATCATTGATGCATATCGCATCATATGAAATATCCCCCATCACTAAAATTAACGTAAAATCGGCGTTTTTCGAAATTTGGTCAGAGAAATTCAATGCAAAGTAATGGCGGCCTACGAGTGAGTTTGCTCACCGATCTCCCACAATGCAACAGTGACACGCCCTTTTTTGGGGAATGGGTGATTCATGTATTGGGAAATCATTAGTGATTTCAGTAGAGGCCATACTGGATAATCAACCATAGTTATATATAGAAACTAGAGTCCGCACTGATCACGTGACCCCCATGACTACAACGTTAAAGGTTTGTGCCGGGATGGACACAGATCACCAAATATTTCTACGCCGTCACCACGAAACAAGGGCCAAAGTTATTTTTAGTCTCTCTCACCCTTTTTCCCCCTTTTGCATGGCGATTTTTGTTGACTTTTTGGTGTAGAATCGAAAAAAGGGGTTTGAAAATACATTTTCTGCCAGGTTTTGGTGAATATTCATGATTTTGAGGCGGAAGGATACATGAGTTGTGAGGTTGGTTACGTTGAAATGTAGGGCCGGAAATTGCATGTTTACTTGTCTCTACTTCCAGCTTGTGTATCTCAAGTTTTTCATGGTAAACCTCATACATGCTTTTGGGCAAGAGTTTACCACATGTTGCTCCATCTGTGGCAGAAAGCGTTCTACCCAACGAAAATTGGGAAAAAAAAGTCAGAGCCGGTCTAAGAGACGAGAATTAACATTAAAGTCTATGGGGAAATAATTAGTGATCGGGGCCCTTATTCACGAAAACTTTGGCCGGATGGAGCGACGGCCGCCATGTTAGTTCCGGGCAGTATGAACGTAAATACCCGGATGTTCACTATGTTATCGCATCAATCAATCTGTGTCAAACTGTTTTAAAACGTGCACAAATATTAAATTTTTAAATTTTCTCACCCAAATTTTTATTGTTTAATAAAAATAATAATAAAGATCCATGGACCGACTTATCTCCGGGCTCCACTTTCCACAGTAAAGGTTATAGGACATTTTAATTTGACATGTCAGCGATCTCGACCGCAGTTTCTCTACGTCTACCTAGGCCTACTTACCTTCGCTTTCTCTTTTAATTTTTATTAAAATATTGATCTTTTAATTTTTATTAAAATATTGATCTTTTAATTTTTATTAAAATATTGATCTTTTAATTTTTATTAAAATATTGATCTTTTAATTTTTATTAAAATATTGATCTTTTAATTTTTATTAAAATATTGATCTTTTAATTTTTATTAAAATATTGATCTTTTAAATTAGTGCAATGTACACAATAAGTATTCCTATACAGTAAATTTGTTAAATTGTTTTAGAAATTTATGGAACTAATTAATAAAGAGTGTAGAGAAATGAATGGGGTTTTTTAACATTAAAAGTGAACAGAAATCAATAGCCCGCAGAATTATATTATGTAACCTACCGGTATTTTTATTTATTTGTTAATTATTTTATTTTAGGAAATTAGGGAATGAAAAGTGAAGAAAAATTAATAGCCTGCGTAAAATGTATTTCTATTGACCGGTATTTATTTATTTTTTAATTATTTTTAGAAATTTATGGAACTGAAAAAGTAAAGAGAAATTAATGGAATGTAGAGAAATGAATAGTTTTAGAACAACAAGGAAGAAAATATGTTTCCAGAATGAAAAAAATATTTATGAAATGAAATGGGGTTCAACGTCCTACTGTTCTGCACCAACCTGGCTAATGAAGACGGGCATACTCCATGTAGTGCGCTCTGAGGGAAATTTTGCCCGAACAGCGGCGGTACGGCCTACTCTTTATATCGATTTCCACCTGTTAAAGGTTCTTACGTGCTCGCCGATTTTTCGTCACATCCGAACGACTAGACACTTTACCTTGTCAGACACTCCGTCTGCACCACTGACAAGGGGAAGCTCCGTTGGAAAATCCCGTGGTACTTTCTCGGGATCGAACACCGGATCCCTTTATTCTGTCACTGAGAAACCGCGGCTCCCTAACTTACAAGTACATTGAAGACTGCCCAACCATAAAGTATGAAAAAAACAGCAATAAAATGAAAATTAAAAATATCATTAATTGTAATTTGTACCTAATAATCCTATCTGCTGTTACGATATTGTCTCGTCTAATGTTTAACAGCCATCTGTTCAGAAGCTTCTTGTTTGCATTGATATTTATTTACTGCAGAGGAGAGGTGGAGGGACAGTGAATGGTCGACTAGAACTTCGATCCAGACTTTGAGAGACGGTCATAAAGTTTCCTTCACTTTTTGAGGCCTATGTCACAGAGTAGCCTATTAGAAAAAGCCACATAGGTGAAAAAAACAGAACAACTGTTACAGTAACTGTAGGTTCATACGACAGGCGACCCTACTCCTTGTCACGTACAACCGTGGAATCGAAACCCCGCCAGTTGACTCGATGACACATAGGCCTACGAGTTAGAAGATATGGTGGCTGTATAATTTAATAATATATATTTTTTTTAAAAAAAGGTGTTAAGTCAAATTGTGTGTGTGTGACATGAACATTTATTATATAATGGAGGTGCTCTTTGACTAGAGGTATCCAATATTGCCCCAACCCCTACCACAAAAAATAAAGATATAGATTGCATATATTTTTTATTCATGTAGTATAACAATAACAATACATGTACTTTTTTTTATCTAGTTGTGAATTCAAAGTAGTCGCGTATACATGTTTGTTAAGTAATACTGGATCTCTCGCCCCCAATATTTCTTTTTACTTTCATCATACTGAATCATAGCGTCTAAAAGCGTTTCAAAATGCCGTGAATTTGATGATTTCCAACCCCAACTATTTTAGCGATTACGCGACCACTTAATAAAATCTCGGTGCTTTTTGTGCTGACATAAATTAATTACGCTTGGGTGCATTGGGAGCGAACATCAATACTTGCATCGATAAATTTGACCGTCGCTGAATCTTGCGCCTAACGAAAATTAGTTACTCAAATCTCGAACATAACTTCTGTAAACTTGTCATTTTGTACCAACCTTCGATACTACTGTCTACCATTGTGATGCATTCGATAATATTCATCCATTTTTGTGAAGAAAATAGATGAATTAATTTTATTTTATCAAAAAAGCACATGAACAAAAAACCATCGCTGATTTTATCACCGATTTACTGGGGGTGTAACTCTTTATGTAATATTATAGGGGGAGCTAAAACGTCTGTTTAACAACAAAGTGGCAATGGAAAAGAGATACTAGATGATCGTGATAAAACTTGGTACTTTTATTTTATTCAATCAGTATCAAATAATGTGTCGTTACGCGTGAAAACAATGATCAGGTTAGTCGTTTAATAAAACAAAAGATTAATAAACAGATAATCCCGGGTTGATTGTTATTTTTACATTTCTTTTTACCTGATCAGTGGGGGTCCAGTTAATTAACTACTACTCACGGGATTAGCGGGCATGTTACAAAGAAAGAACGACAAGATGGTATCATTCAACAATGACCGTTGAATGTTTTGTTGAATTTATTAGTAAAATAGTGACCGTTGAAACAGTAGAATTTTTACGAGGGGAATTAATCGTGATGCCCGTTGCACGCGTTGAACAGGTGCGTGTTTAGTAGGGGTTAAATTACTGAAAAATCGCTCGGGGGGATTTTTTGGTGCTCGTTGAAGCAAGTGTTCGCTGATTAGGAGTGCACGCCCGAGCAAGTTCTACTGTATCTTAAGTTTCTTATAAAGATTTAGTAGTAAAAGAGGGTTTCTTTTATTTTAAAATGACTTTTAGATTAGGTTTTCACATCATATTAATGACATTAATTTGATTGTTATTGAGTATTGACGTTTACATTGGACTGAGCTTGACCTTAACCCAGTGCTAGAACTAGAAGAATGGACCGATTTTTGATAGGTACAGTTGATAAATCAATCTAACCTATGAAACGCTATTCCACAACTATTTTTTCGGGAGTTTGAGCAGCCAAAACAGCAGCAACTTTCTGGCATATTGATTATAAAAAACGATTTAAAAGATCTAATGGTCGTCAGCGTCAACTCCACAGAACTAACATGGAGGACAAGGCCCCATGTCGGCACGCTGTCACGTGATCAGTGCGGACTCTAGTTTCTATATATAGAAAGGTTGAGTAATGAGTGTGTTTGTTTTCGGGGAGCATTGCAGAGACAGCGTCTCATTCGGATGGGACGGAAAACCGAGGTCCCGTAGGCCTACACCTTGGCGTGCACGTAAAGAACCCTTGCCAGTTGGAATTCAATTGCTGTCCGGGCAAAATTTCTCTTAGAGCACACCGTATGGCGTATGACCGTCTTCATTATCCCGCTAGGACGTTAAACCCCTTTTCATTCTTCATTGGGCTAATTTGTTTGTTTTCGCTTGTTCAGCTGAACTTGTTTGTGTTTCGCAAAATATTATGACATGAACATTTATTATATATCTTAAGTTTCTTATAAAGATTTAGTAGTAAAAAAGGGTTTCTTTTATTTTAAAATGACTTTTAGATTAGGTCTTCACATCATATTAATGACATTAATTCGATTGTTATTGAGTATTGACGTTTACATTGGACTTGGAGGGACTGAGCTTGGTCCTAACCAAGTGCTAGAACTAGAAGAATGGACCGATTTTTGACAGGTACAGTTGATAAATCAATCTAACCTATGAAACGCTATTCCACTACCCCTTTTTCGGGTGTTTGAGCAGCCAAAACAGCAGCAACTTTCTGGCATATTGATTATAAAACACGATTTAAAAGATCTAATGGTCGTCAGCGTCAACTCCCGGGAATTAACATGGCGGACATGGCCCCGTGTCGGCACGCTGTCACGTGATCAGTGCGGACTCGATAGCTCTATGTAATCAACTGACATTAAAAAACGAACTCTCTGTTACGCACAGGCAATGAACTTTTCATCAAATACGTACGTTGAAGACTAGGATATTCCGGGTGACCGAGACTAATAAATAGCCATTCAATGGCAATGTTTCAATGAGTATTTGTGGTGAAGTTATTTGGCCCATTTGACGTCACGTAAGTTATATTACGGAGCAGTTTTTAGCTCTGTAAAATTGCGTGATATCAATTAAATCAATATTTAAATGCATCAGAATATCTCAATCCTGTCAATTTTGAAAATTAATAATTATCAAAACTTTAAAGCAGGTGGTTTTCCCACAATTTAACACAATGTTTTTAAGCAAAAAAATTTAATTAAAGGACCATCCCGATTTTAAGCGCCAATTTAAAATATAGAGGAATCGTGTAATTTACCTTGTTTCAAAATTTCAGCTCAAAATATTGAGTCATTTGGATGTGAACGTCAAAAATAAAAGTCTGAGTACGTATGAAATTTAACCGCCAAAATATAGAGGAGTGGTGTATTTACGTTGTCTCAAAATTTCAACTCACAATATTGAGTCATTTGGACATGAACGTCAAAACTGGTTATCCGGACACGTAACCTTTTTAAGATTTCGGGTCAATTTTTTCGTTGGATGACCTGATAATCAATTCCCTTTTTTTAGAGATCTATACAATGAATGACCCATGTGCTGTACTTCATAACGAAAAGTAAATTTCACCTACACATTATTCTTATAAAAAAAAGTCTGGTTTTATCCAGACACCACATAATACAGCTTGGGACACCGGTTTCCATTTCCAGATGAAGACTGACGGGCTTAAGTTGTTTGAAAATGTATCACATATGTTGAGTTAGTTGCTCGGCCCTAAGGTAGAGGATTTTAACACAATTAACAGTTTTAGTCTCAAAAATATTATCGGGATTGGCCCTTTAACTGGAGAGGTAACCCTTTTAAGATTTCAGGTCAATTTTTTCGTTGGGTGACCTGATAATCTATTCTATTGCCTTTCCTTTAGAGATCTATACAATGCATAACCCACATGCTCTGCTTAATAACGAAAGTTAAATTTCACCTACTCATTATTTTTATAAAATAAAAATCAGGTTTTACCCAGACACCGCATAATACAGTTTTGGATACCGGTCTGTATTTCCAGATGAAGACTGACGGATTTAAGTTGTTTGAAAACGTATCACGTATATTGAGTTATGTAGTTGTTCGGCCCTAAGGTAGAGGATTTTAAACGGACTATCCCTTACTTGAACAGAGTCTCAAAAATAAAAGTCTGAGTATGTATGAAATTTAAGAGCCAAAATATAGAGGAATGGTGTATTTACCTTGTCTCAAAATTTCAGCGCGGTATGGACGTGACCGTCAAAACTGCTTATCCGGACACGTAACCCTTTTAAGATTTCGGGTTAATTCTTTCGCTGGGAGACCTGATAATCGATTGCCGTTCCTTTAAAGGTCTATACAGTGAATGAACCAAATGCTGTACTTGATAACGAAAGGCAAATGTCACCTACACATTATTTTTATACAAAAAATGTCTGGTTTTATCTAGACACCGCATAATACAACTTGGGACACTGGTCTCCATTAACAAATGAAGACTGACGGGTTTCAGTTATTTGAAAATATTGAGTTAGTTGCTCGGCCCTTAGGAAGAGAACTTTAAAGAATTTTAAAACAAAATTAAACAGTTTTATTCTCTAAAAAATTATCGGGATTAGCCCTTTAAGGGCTTTTCACACAAAATTAAAGATACATTATGGGAGATTAGATAACGAGTTGGCAGTTCTCACTATAATAGTTAAAAACTACATAATGTAAAGGCAACTTGCTGAAAATTTCAGTCAAATTGATCCACTATGAACCGAGAACCAAGCGGATGAAAGTTCCGCTTAGCCTCGATCATCATTACTGAAGACGATAAGACAAAACTAATAGTCTTGATTATCCATTTAATCGTTAATCACGAAGGAAAGTTTTGCAGCAAATCGGACTGTAATCCAACAAATATCGCAGGCAAGCCTGATTATGGTCTGGATAAGTTAATTAATGTCTAATTAATAGTTTTTATAACATTTCAGGCCTAAAGAAAGACCTACAATAGGCCGATTTTGCTCATGCATAATGTATGTTTAAGTAGTTTTATTATCCAAAATATAATCGAGATTGGCCCTTTAAATAAACATAACTTGACATTTTGCATTGAAAATTCTGTGATTGGTGAAACATGACTAAATTATTTTAAATATAATATGAAAGAATATTCATTCCATTTTGCAATTCAGCAACAGCAAAAAAAATTTATGAATACATTTACTGGTGTAAACCAAATTATACCGTCACGTAAGTTACATGGGTTTGTCACATAAGTTACGCATGTGTGAAATAAAAGCTTAAATTGATTCTCTTGCATTTTTTTAAGATTGTTTTTAGGAACTTCATATTATAATTAAGTTATCAGTAACCCCTACCAAAATACAATCTAAGAGGTTTATTTTCTTTGGTATCTTCTTCTGAAACATGTATAACAAACATTTTACATAGGGGTGCATTATTGGCACCAACACCATAATCTAAAGGCTAGATTCCATTTATCATTTTTTTCAAAAATTGAGACATTATGTGTTTTATTACTACAGTAATAGAAACTTCTATATTGTTGAAAGTCATTATACCTGTAAATAGTAAATTTACATTTCTTTATTTACACATCATCTTTAACAACAACCATTTCATTCGTCATTGCTGGAGATGTCAATACATGTATATTGGTAAAATCTTTATAACTAAATCATTGCTAATAGGCTACTAATAGACCTCTTATGATGAAGTTAGAAAATCTGCATCATTGGAGGGAGATCTTAATACAACTAAAATTCAATGACTTTCTACAATACTGTATCAAAAGTATGTGTTGAAAAAAAAAAGAAGAAATTCAATAAAGTCTCAAATCTTTGAAAATGATAAATTGACCCTATACATGTACATGTAAATACCCATCTCATTATGTATTCTAATTGAGTGTCTCCCGAATTTAAAAACAGATATATTGTGCAGTACTGTAAGGGCAAAGATTCTTGCTGCAGAGTGGGGGGAATGTTGGTAAATTTGGGGGGGGGGGGGGTGCATATCATTGTACAATGTAAATCTGATTTTTTTTGTTGAATCCAATAGTAAATGTTATTTTATTAGTTTATTATGTTTTGGGCAAAAAGATATCAACAAAAACACAAAGTCCATAACATTTTTTTTTTTTTGCTTTTTTGAAGCTACTGGTATCAAAGGATGATTGAAGCGTTGCATTAGCCAGTACCATATACCATAGGATACGCCCACATTTTCAAGAGATGAATACAGAACAAGCTAAAATGCAATTTTTCGTACAATCAGGGGCCATAATTCAGGACCCTTGGTATACCATATTTTTACGCTATTTGAGAACGAGGGGCGGCCATTTTGTCTGTCAGTTTTGGGCCGATTTTCACGAAATTCGAACTCAGGCATCCTTAGGGTGTAACGCTGATATAATAATACATTTTTTAAATCGGATAAAAATTAAGACCTCTATAGGGTCCACAAGCTAAAAATGCGATTTTTCGTACCATCAGGGGCCATAATTCAGGAAGTTACGGTCCGATATGCACAAATATTCAAAGGAACCAAGATCTTTGGGTTATAAACTTACATTTCAAGTTTCAACAAAATCGGATAAAAATTGTGACCTCTATAGCGTCCACAACCTTGACATACCATATTTTTACGCTATTTGAGAACGAAGGGCGGCCATTTTGTCTGTCTGTTTTGGGCCGGTTTTCACGAAATTCGTACTCAGCCGTCCTTAGGGTGTAACGGTGATATAATAATACGTTTTTTTTAAATCGGATAAAAATTATGTCCACAAGCTAAAAACGCGATTTTTCATACAATCAGGGGCCATAATTGAGGAAGTTACGGTCCGATATGCACGAATATCGAAAGGAACCGAGATCTTTGGGTTATAAACTTACATTTCAAGTTTCAACAAAATCAGATAAACATTGTGACCTCTATAGGGTCCACAAGCTAAAAACGTGATTTTTCGTACAATCAGGGACCATAATCCATGAAGTGTTGATCCGATACATGCCAATATCGAAAGCAGTCAAGATCTTTTGGGGATAAACCTATATTTCAAATTTCATCAAAATCGGATAAGAATTGTGACCTGTAGAGAGTCCACAAACAATTGTGGACGGACGGACAGGGGCGACGGCATAATACGTCCACGTGAAAATGTGGGCGTATAAAAATGATTAAATCAGACTTACTTCATTCAAGAACTAAACATTAAAATTAGATACAGTGTATTGTTAACACATTTTTATAAAATTATTGTAAACCATGTGAACATGAAAGCATTAAAGTATATAAATCTGTCACATAAGTTACAGAGGAATAAGCAAAGTTTAGTGCAACAGTACATATATTTATTTAAGTTTGGGTGCTATTCTTTGACATAAAATATTGACAGGCACATTTCTGCTTTGTAAAAATGTATTGAGTAATGAATAGGTGAAATTACAACATTTCTTTTACAAATTATTTCAAACAGGTGTCTTAAACATACATTATGCAAGAGCAAAATCTGCTTATTACAATTCTTTCTTTAGGCCTGAAATGTTATCTAAATTATCAATTAGACATTAATTAACTTATCCAGACCATAATAAACTCTCGATGTCAAGGCTAGCCTTCGATATTGGCTGGATTAGATTCCTATATCAAAACAGTGGATAATCGAGACTATGCCGTTTATATTAATGCTTTTAGAAATGATGACCGAAACTATGCGAAAATTTCACCCACTTCATTCTCGGCTCATAGTGGATCAATTTGACTGAAATTTTCAGCAAATTACCTTTACACTATCTAGATTTTAACTATTATAGCGAGAACTGCCATCTCTTTATCTTATCTCCAATAATGTATCTCTAAATTTGTGGTAGAATTAAACAAGGGTCAAGGGGTGTTCTAGCATCATAAAATTTACAATTCACGTCTATCAGAATTAATTTAATTTTTGGTCATGATGGCTCACTTTATATGAAATGAGCCATTTTTGCATTTTTACTGCAGAAAATTATGTCTGTTCATATTTAAGGATAAAGTTAAGCTATTTTAAGTGTTTGGTAGCATTACCCTTCAACCAGACATCATGAAAGGACAAAGAATATCAATTTTTCAAACAAAATGGGTGGCTAATAATGAAAACGGGTGGGGAATTACTCTATGCCACCCGGGTAGCGAATATCCTTTGTAATAATTACAGCATTAGTAAAAGTCTTGTACTTTGTATGTGTTAAGCGGCATTTACACAATACAATCAATCCATACAACTGTTGGATGCAACATATTGGACGACTGTTTACACGATACAATGGTTCTAGTCGTTGTATGGCAACATTTATTCCTTCTTAGTAACTGAATAAAATGGCAGTAAGACGACACTTCTCACCCCCGTCTTCGTGTAGTGTTGATGCCGGGGATTCAACAAAGACCTTGCTTCCTATACAGAGTTATTAGATTTTCTAATTCAGTCCAGGATAGGTTTAGATCCATTTTAGAGGACATCAAAGTACTCGAAGCGACAGAAGAAGACATCTTTAATCAGGAATTCTGGTTGCCAAGTCAGATATGACGCCATACGGCGTATGACGTTGTCTAATATAACGCACTTTGATTGGCTATTGCATGAGTTGGTCGGATGAGAATAGAACTGATCCTATCCATGCAATAAGCCGTCCATCCGACCATTTGTCTGATCAGTTGGTCGGATGCGACGGTTGCATCCGACGGTTGTATGGATTGATTGTATAGTGTAAACGCCGCTTAAATGTATTTAAAACTAAACAGATTAGCCATTTTATAACAATCACCATAACACACACATACATGTAATACAATCTTGTTCATGTAATAAAATAGTACACAATATTTGATGTATAAAAACCATTCATATGTTCAATAAATTTGTATAGGAAAAATGTATCATTGACATCAAACTGAAGTACGGTATCACTCTAGTTTAACCTGGACACGGCAAACTGGACAGGAGGCATTATTCTGTAAAAAAAATAAAATAGGGAGAACACATGAATGAATACATTTTTAATATTTCAAACATTGTCAGGTTTTTTACAACATAATAGAGTAACCAAAACGAAAGCATGTATAAAGATAGGTTGCCAGGCAACAAAACATACCGCCACAGTAGCTAAATCGTCCAGGCAGTCAACAAAGAGTATATTTTTACTTTTGTCGGTAATGAAACATTTATAATACACTAAAATCTGATTAAGAGTAACAACTCATTAAGTAATTATCAGAAAATCATTAGAATTTGTTTTCTTTCTAGTTCTGCCCAATGCTAATGTATAACATTTAATATCATGGATTTTCAAGTTATCAAAAATCATTGAAAATCAATATATTTGTTTGTCTCAAGACCTTAGCCTCTGTGTATCAATCTAAAGTCAATCGAAACGATTATATATAGGCGTCTTTGTCTCATGACTGTAAACATGGTGTATAAATATAATACAGATGATAACTATGGCCTCTAAAGCATCCACGAGGGCCATAACTTAGGCAGTAATTATCAGCAATTGTTGAAAATCAATAGGACTCTTCGTCTCATGACAATGTGTATAAATTTAAAGTCAATCGGATATTAACTTTAATCTCTAGATATTTCAAAGAGACCGAGGGCCATAACTCTGGTAGTAATTATCATGACCTTAAACACTGTGTATAAATTTAAATCAATCAGATATTAACTGATCGCCCACAAGATATTTCAAAGTGATCAAGGGCCATAACTATCGGAAATCGTAATTATCGGAAATCAATGAAAATCCATAGGCTTCTTTGTTGCATGACCTTAAACAATGTGTATAAATATGTCAATCGGATATTAACTTTAATCTCTTGAAAGTCCACAAGATAATTCCAAGTGACCAAGGGCCATAACTCAGGCAGTAATTATCAGAAGGCGTTGAAAATCAATAGGTTCTTCGTCTCATGACCTTAAACACTGTGTATAAATTTAAAATCAATCGGATATTAACTTTAGCCTCTAGAGCATCCACAAGCAACTATGTACACCGGACCGGGCAGAAACGACATTATACGACCATATTGGGAAATTTCAATGTTGTCACATAGTGGCGCAGGAACTATATTTTGAGTGGGATGACAGACTTTAAATGCTAAGCCTGGCCCATTTTCTGCCGCCCCTAGCAAATTTTTAGAAATTGCTGTATCCAGAGTTATTTTATAATATATCTGCGTTAATATATATATATCCAGAAATATTAGTACAACCGTAAAGCTGCACTACTCTTTGTTTCACGGTAAACAATGAAAAGATACAAACTGATTTCAACACTCGTTTAATAACATTTTAAAGTACTTTTCGTCCGTCTTGGGACTATTCATAAATATTGTCATTGTATAAAGATGGACAGTTTAGTATATACATATTTACATTGCAACAAAGGGTTTTAATTGGTTAAAGTTACCATTGTCTATGGTTACATAGTATATATGTACACATTAATTTAAAGTTACAATTTCATTTTTTCTACGAAAGTCAAAACATAATTATTTCTATGTCTTTTGCTCAATAGGTTGTCAACTTACTATTATGCGATCATAGGTTATCTTTTTCACACTTAAAAATCTGCACACCGGAAATAATTACACAATTACCTCCCTTGTTTTCCTATTCCCCACCATGGAATTTGAAGTTGAAAATGATATTTTTGTCAATTTCTCAACTGGCAATAGTGAATTATAGGATTAATAGAATTATTCTTTAACAAGGTACATGTAGGACTGTTTATAGATACCATCTATTTAAGGGCTTTATTTTTATACATTTTATAAATAGAACTTAAAAATATGAAATTGTAACTTTAAGAAAATTAATGAAGTTAATGGCCAATTGTTACCTATTGACTTTTAAGTTGAGGAATGTATTTTTTAATAAAATGGTTTTCCATTAATTTCCTTTTCGTGAAGTCATCGGCTTTCATTTTATAAAATGGGAAAATTTGGAATTTTACTTGTACATGTAGGTGTTGTGCACATCTAAAGATATTTCTATTTACAAATAAGAGTCCATTTTCGATATTGCAATCCCGTCGATGGTTGCGTACTCTATCCCGTAGATGCGTGCCCGTCTCCCTGATGTAGATTTTTAGACACCCATTGCAAGTCAAGACATATATGAGATTTTTTGTGTCGCAATTCATATTGTCGTTGACACTACTAAAAGTAAAGTTATGAAAATTATGTTTGTTATTTGGCATAATATGGCCACAACATTTACATCGTAGATCCGGGCATTTAGATACATAAAGATAGGTTGCCAGTGCTAAATCGCCAGAGCGGTCGACAAGATTTGTCGCATATTTATTCCTTTCTAAGTAATTGGTGGCCTTTACAAGACAGTTCCATACAATTCAGATTATAATTTTTGTCGTTTGAGGTTTCATAAGGTTTTACAAACTGAAACAAGGGCCTCAACTTTGGAAGTAGTTTACAGAAATTGTTGAAATTTGACAGGCTTTTTTTCGTTTTACTAATTTAAATAATGCACATAAATTTCATACAGATCGGATGATCACTTTTGTCATTCAAACATTCACAGGGTTCACAAAGTAAAAAAAGGGCCATAACTCTAGAAATAATTGTTGGAAATTGCTGAAATTCAATAAATCTCTGTTTCACAAATTTTAACGATGCATATGAATTTCATACATACATACATATTGGATGACAACTTTCATCAATCGAGCTTTAACAAGGTTGAACAAAGTGAAAGAAGGGCCATTAGTCTAGACGTAATAAACAGAAATAGCTGAAATTCAAGAGGCTTCTTCGTCTCACTAATTTAAATAATCCATATAATTTTCAGAAAGATCGAATGATAACTTTTGATGTTAGAGCGTTTACAAGGTTCAATGAAGTGAAACAGGGGCCATATCTCTAGACGTAATAAACGGAGATTCCTGAAATTCAATAGGCTTCTTTGTTTCACTAATTTAAAGAGGCTAAATCTCTAATATTTGGAACCTAGAAATTGACACAAATGGGTCGCAACGCATATAATAATGTAATATGAATGTATATAAACTGGTTTACATTCAATCTTTTCTGTTTTCACTGTAATTTCTAATCATTTATGTTCGGTGAAATACGCCAGAAGTCTCAATTGAATAGCAATCTCTAGTGCCTGGTTATTCCAGTCTACACCGATAGCATTTATTGCACATGCTCTCCAGATAAGAATATGGCGTCACCGTTTGACTTGACATATGGAATATGCCTAGCCTCATTTTTCAAGTCCCTTACAAATGACGCTGAAACGATTATGGTACACGATTTGTGTACCAATGGTAAAATGTTTATTTTGTCTTAAATATTGGATATCAAAGCCCATCTCTTCCCGGTAAGATCACAACATCAATGTTGATTTAAATCATAGATAATACCGTATGATTGCCGACTCATGAATTCTCGACGTTATGTTGCGAAACGCGTGGAACGGCGAGAAAGGTGGTTGATCACTTCCGGTCTTCTGTTCTCGCTGTTTGTTTACTATAGGCCCAGTAGCAATATTTTTATTTAGCGCTTTCTTGTAGTTTAAATGTGGCATCATCTGGTTAAATGGATACGAGAAACAGAAGGAATGTTCGAGGTAAGAATAAAAATGAATATCTTATAATTTTGATATTATATTGTATTATAAATAAGTATTACATTTCAATTTCATGAAAATCTCGACACGTGTGTTGCCCAGTTAAGGCAAAGTTTGACAGCTTTGACCTACTTTTAAAAATCGGCAAAATAGAGTTTTGAATTCATTAATTTGTAAAATAATACTTGCAGATCATTAATAAATCGTAAATACATAAAATACAGTTTGGTATGAATAATAACATTGCTGTGCTGGCTATATATAAGCTTTTAATTACACAATTTTTTAAAAATCTTTTGTATTTTCAGCAGAACTGTACTGCCTGGTAGCCTACCTGTCTTTTGTTTGCTACCTAGGGGCCTAGGGGAGTGCCAGCTTGTGAAGCAAATATATTTCATGTTGATTTATTGTGATACTGATAAATAATTGTATGTTTTATTTATGTTATTTACTTCTTTTCATATTGTGTGTGTGTGGGTGGGTGGGGGGGGGTATAAATATTGAGACACTAGACACTAATATATTGATAAAGTATTTTATTTTATGTATCTATTTATTTATATTTCTATTTTTATTTTTTTTATTTCATTTTTTTTTTTTTTTTTTTGGGGGGGGGGGAGATATTATTATTTTTATTATTTTATTTGTTTTATTTTAATACTCAACAAGGGATTTGGTTTAAATTGTTTGATTGTATTATATCATTATTGATTTTAATTTTGTATAGTTGAATTAAGCATAATTATTTAATTTTATGTATTTCAAACATCAGAAAATAAACCATTCAAGCTATGTGTAATGTGTTTGTGTGGTTATGTTGATGGTTAAATAGGTTGAGAATTGAGGCCAAATGACCAATTTTCGCGAAAAAGGGATCTTCCAGTTGGTGTTACAGAATTCAGTCAATTTTGCTCCGATATTGATAACTTTGGTTTTGTTACAATGCTGAGATGTATGGCTTTTCAGGAAATAACACGGTTCTGGAGAAAAATTAATATTTAAAAATAGCTGCCGGTCGATATTCAAGGATATGGGTTTACTGTTCCATGTAATTAAATTAATCATTAAAAATATAACCTACAATTTTTGTTTCAATTAAATAAGTTAATCTTAACAATAATATTAGGCTGTTGCATTTTTTGATTTAAATAATTTAATCTTATCAGTTGAGGAAGAAAGAGTTGGTATTTCAATCTAATAAGGTGCCTATAAATTATATAATTATTCATCCAATTATGTAACATTAACATTGTCTGATCGCTTTATTTAATAATACATTTATTAATTTATCATAAAAGTATTGTTAATTAAAGATGCGTTTATAAATGTTAAACAGGCATTATGTAAGAGCTAAATCTGC